GCGAGACCCGTGTCTCTATATAAATTAGAAGGAAATTAGATTGGCCAGATTGTATATATTATAAAAATTTAGCCGCATGGTGGCGCATGCCTGTATCCAGCTAATATACATATATAATGAGTGAGATGTGCACCATCTGGGGGATGGTCATGCTGGAGACTCAGACTTGTGGGGGGAGGGGGGAAATGGGCATTTATTGAAACCTTAAAATCTGTATCCCCAATATATGCTGAAATAAAAAAAAAAAATTCTAAAGACATTTTTCACATAAATAGAAAAAAACTATTATAAAATTGTTATGGAACCAAAAAAGATCCTGAATAGCTAAAGTCATGTTGAACAAAAAGAACAATGCTGGAGGCATTGAACTTCACATTGAACTTCATATCTGACTTCAAATTACATACTACAGGCCAGGCAAGGTAGCTCACGCCTGAAATCCCAGCACTCTGGGAGGCCAAGGTGAGAGGACTGCTTGAGCTCAGGAGTTCAGGACCAGCCTGACCAAGAGTGAGACCTGTCTCTACTGAAAATAGAACTTAGCCGGGCACGGTGGCACACACCAATAGTCCCATCGACTTGAGAGGCTGAGGCAGGAGCATCACTTGAGTCCAGGAGTTTGAGGTTGCTGTGAGCTAAGCTGATGCCACAAGGCACTCTAGCCTGGGCAACAGAGTGAAACTCTATCTCAAAAAAAAAAAAAAAAATTATTAAAAAAAAATAGTACAAAGCTCTAGTAATCAAAACAGCAAGGTACTGGCATTTAAAAAAAATACATATAGACCAATAGTATAAAATACAGAGCCCAGAAATGAACTCATGTATTTACAGTTAATTGATCTTCAACACAGATTCCAAGAACACACAATGGGAAAGGACAGTCTCTTCAATAAAGGGTGCTGGGAAAACTGCATATCCACATACAGAAGAATGAAATTAGACTTGCATCTCACACCATATACAAAAAGAAAAAAAATTCAACATGGATTAAAGTCCTAAACATAAGACTTGAAACTACAAAATTATAAGAAATAAACATACAGGAAAAACTCCATGACACTGGACTGGGCAATGATTTTTTTGGATATGACCCCAAAAGAACAAGCAACAAAAGAAAAAATAAACAAGTGGCATTACATCAAACCAAAAGTTTCTGCACAGCAAAGCCAATAATCAACGGAGTGAAGAGACAACCTACAGAATGAGAAAAAATATTTGCAAACCATGTATCTGATAAGGGGTTAACATACAAAATATAAGAAACTCAAGCAACTCAATAGCAACAAACCAAATAACCTAATTAAAAAATGAGCAAAGAACTTGAATAAACATTCTCAAAGACAGACATACAAATGGCCAACAGCTGTATGTAAAATAATGTTCAACATCACTATTCATGAGAAAAAGGCAAATTAAAACCACAATGAGCTATCATGCCATACCTGTTAGAATGGTTATTATCAAAAAGATGAAAGGTGTTAGAAAAGATGTGGAGAAAAGGAAACCCCTGCACACTGTTGTGGGAATGTAAATTAGGACAGCCATTATGAAAACAGAGTTTCCGCAGAAAATTAAAATTAGAACTACCATATGATCCATGAACCCTACTACTGGATATACACCCAAAGGAAATGAAATCAGCATGTCAAAGAGATATCTGCACTCTGCATTCATTGTAGCATTATTCACAATAGCCAAGATACAGAATCAATCTAAATGTCTACAGCCAGATGAATAAAGAAAATATGGTATATATACACAATGAAATACTATTCAGTCTTTAAAAAAGAAGGAAATTCTGTCATTTACAAAAACATGAATGAATTTAGAGGATATTATGTTAGGTGAAATAAAGCCAGGCACAGAAAGACAAATATCACATGATCTCACTTAAATGTAGAATCTAAAAAAGTTGAACTCATATAAGTAGAGTTAGAATGGTGGATACCAGGAGATTTGGGGGGTGGGAGATTGGGAAGATGTTAGTAAAAGGATACAAAATTTCAGTTAGAAGGAAGAAGTTCAAGAGTTCTACTGTACAATATGGTTACTATAGTTAATAGTGTACACTTGAAAATGTTTTTCTATATGCGTGTCTATACTTGAAAATTAGTAAGAGATATTAAGTGTTCTCACCACAAAAAATGAAATGTGAGGTAATATATGTTAATTAGTTTGATTGAGCCATTTCACAATGCTTACATATTTAAAAACATCATGCTGTACGCAATAAATATATATAATTTTTACTTTTCAATGTAAAAAAATAAAATATATTTTTTAAAGAAGAAAAATCAATTATATACTCTTGGCCAAAAAGACAAGAAGAGAACAATTTTAATGGCATAAAAACCTTTGCCTCTCTAAATGTGGCCAAAGCCACATTCGCATCACCTGGTTAGAAATGTAGACTATCAGCCCCACCCCCACCCCCGACCTCCTGAATCCAAATTTGCTTTTTATCAAGATTCCCCCACGAATCCTACACACAATGAAGTCTGACCTAAATGATACATCTCACCATTCCACTCCACAGGCATATGCCCCAGAGTAAGCATGAGACAGGTGACACTGATCTGCAATTCCCTAAGTGAGTCTCAGTTCTCACATGTTTTACACCTCACTGAGTGGGGTTCTGGTGTTTAAATGGTAATTTGGCCTGCACACCTAAAATATGACTTCACTGTTCTGTCCCCGGGTTGACCCTCAGCTACCAACCTAACAATTGGCTTGATTTAACCAAGAGTTCACATCTTTGCATTAAAATCTGTGAGAACATTAACAGCACAGGCAAGCTCAATAAAGGCTGAGCGCAGAGCTGTCAGCCTCTAGCATGCTGCCACAGGTCAGCCGTAACTCAGACTGCAGGAGAAGAGAGCTCTTGAGTAGACAGTCGCAGAAAGATACACACCAAGTGGTGATATGGAACACTACCCTTTAAGCTCAAGGTTACTTTCTTTCAAGTAAACTTGCTAACCAATTCATTGATTCTGTAAAGCAAATTTCTGTTACCCAGGACCTTCCTATACTTCAAATCATGCATTTAGGAAAATCTTGAACATCTGTTAATTACGGCTTACCTGTGCACACCTTCCTAGTTCTTTCCTGTCCAGATACTGAAATATATTGATTGCCAATTCATAAGGCAGCTGGATATCAAAGAAGGGCACATCATCCATTTCATTCTGAGGAGAAAAAAATAAAGGAAATAAGTTTACAATTCTGAGATATGAAAATAATTCGCATTTACAGGCCCTGTAAATGACCAGAGATATTCTCAGATGGTGACAAGGGCGATGAAGCTCTTTCCTAGGAGAGAAGCATTCTCACTTTTTCATGAAGCAACCATGGAACTAATTCAGAACTTGCCAGCCAGTCTCAATTCTCTGACCCCCCCCAAACCAGCCCCTCCTCACATTCACTTATGAAATCCACATGACTGTTTCCCATAATGCTTCAAAAGGAGAAGCAGGGGTGCTGTCTTACGTCCTGGGGTACACCACGGGAATCAGTGCAAAGGCTTGTGGGAAGCCTCCTGCCTCCCATGGAAAGGTGAGCAGCAGGTGGCCAAGAAAGTGAGCCCTGAAATCAAGGAGGCCACCTCCCCCCCCCCCAGGAAAACCACTATACCCCCAACTTGGAAGGGAGTGCACACCCACAGCTGGAGAAATGCTGCCTGAGGTCACTAAAAGGTTTTCATCGGGGAAATAGGGCTTTGAACACAAGAAAAAAGTAAATAAATGGAACACTGCTCTTGACTGAGATGGTGAACATCATCTCTCCTTAGCCCTGGAGAAGCACAAGGTTTCCTAATGCTCTCAGGGGCTTACGCTGGTTAACCTGAGTGAGCCAGTGCAAACAAAGCAGTTCTTCTTTGGTGTCATTTATTAATGCAGAGAAATTAGAGCTCGCCTGCCTTTGGATAAGCAATTAGAGATGAGGTAACAGGCTTTATTTGAGAGATAAGGCTGTCATGACGATTCTGGTAGCACAAAGAAATATGAGTGTGAAATAGAAAAAAGCCAAGTGTGCACATGTACCTCTCTGCCTGTGCCCAAATCCACCTGCAAGGCTCACTTTGGTATGTGCTTCTGCAAAGCTAGGGAAAGCTGCTTTGTTTGTCCCAATAGAACTCACTTAATAAAATTCATTTTTAATAAGCTTTGACTGGCATCAATGACTTATTGGTTTTGAGAAAATTGTTATTCACCACTCAAATACAACAGTCTTATGTATCGTGAGCCTGTAGTCTCAAAATAGAAAACCGTCTCAGCATTTTTAAGGGAATATGAGCACTGATTTAGACCCTACCAAGACTCAGGGTAAAGATTTTTCTGGAATCATGTTTCTATTCATCTAGGAGTCTCAGGACTAAAAGCTAATCCAGAGCATAAGAAGGAAATGTGGTATTCAACTACAAAAACAGTGCAAAGTTAAATAGGAAGGCCAAAAAGGATCTCTAGAGGAAAAAAAAAGAGCTGACAGGTCTCTGTGGGCAAAGAAGGAACAGAATGTTAAATCAAGAGAGAAATGTTGGCCATAAAGAAAAAAACAAGAAAAAAATCTGCAAGTTCAATTAGAAGACACAGGGTCCTTGCCTAAAAAAATAATGGAAAGTCATTGGTCTAATGTCAGGCTAGGTCCCCTCACACAACTAATTGGCTTCACTCATCAAGAAAAAGAGGCATCACTTTCCCACTCGGCCCAGATACAACTTGAGACTCCTCAACACAACACTGGAGGGAGTCACTGCCCGTTAAGGAAAGCTGCACACAAGACAAGATGTTCATCCGCAAAACTGAACTTCCTACTGCTTTCTCTGTGGGATTATTTTGATTTCGTGAAATGGAGAGACCGGCCTACTTTACCTACTTGGTAAAGAAACAAGAGAATAATAATGTTCCTTATCCTCATACAACCAGAACAAAGGCAAAGAAAAGCCCGCACTCACTGAAACTGAACTTTCATTTAGCTTTTTTTTCACTGTTAGAGGCTTGCCAGGCGTTGCTTTCTTCAATTGGTCCCATTCAGGACTCAGTGTGAACTGGTTTCTGAACTTGACACACTCTGATGAGGCACGAGAAAGCATCTGCTTTGTTTTTAGTTATTCTGGTGCAGCAAAGTCTCATTTCTAGTAGCAGGAGCCTTCCATCTTTTGCCTGTTCAGTTGGCCTATTCTCCATCCTCACTCTGGAAGATAATAACGGCTCTGTCTTAGCACAACCCCAGCCCTGCCACCATTATCTTGATGGCAACCGCCACAATCTGAGACATAGCACAGCACAGTTCAAACTGATTCGGAACAAAGATTCAAACTGATAAACCTGTTCTGCCACCTTACCAGCCACGCGACTGTGCTAAACACATCTGAGCTTCCTCATCTGTGAAACAGACAAAAGCACTCTATGAAATAAGTATGCTATTAAGAATAAAATGAGACTCCACACTGGATCACTGTTAATTAATGTGATGGTTAATTAATTGATGGTTCTTGACTATTAGAAAGTTCTGGAGGGCAACCACTGTTTGAAAGCACTGAATAGTAATTATGTAAATACCAACATTACATAGCCAAACTTTATTTTCCCTCAATCACTGTGCCCTTACAATTATAATCTAAACTCCAAAACAGATCAAGTCCCAGACTTCCATGTAAATGCCCTTCCCTGTTGCTAACCACTGGCTGGGCAACGGCAGGGGGGAAAAAAGAAACCCATATACTAAAGGAAGATCCACATCTTAAGAAAGATGTAGATTCATGAGGTCAGAAGACCAAATGCTGACGTTTCATGCTGCACACTTGGAATAATTTTGGCAAAACATTCTATCAATGGCTCTTGTAGTGATGCTGTGGTGGATCACTCGGATCCCCCCTTCAGGTCCCAGACACTGATGCCCCTGGATGAAAATGCTGCATGCTGTAGACTCATAGCTGAGTCCCTTCCTAGGCACTGCCTTTGGCCAAACAAGCTGCTTTGTCCAAGTTAAATCCCCTCCCAGAGGGCAGCCTGCACTCAATGACTAGTCAATGCCTGAGCACAAAGGCCTGGCCCCTGCCTCAATTCGGGACCTCTCTGAAAGGCTGACCCCATAAAGCATCTACATGCAAATCTCCACCTCAAAGTCTGTTTTGTGCAAAGTCCAACCTTTTTTACCAAAACCACAGATGTGACCCATGATAGTCCTGTGTTCAATACATTCCCAAGAGTTCCTATGCACTACGCCAGAGATATCAGTCTAGATACCTACTTCCCTCTCCTCTACTGAAGGAGACATACTGGGATGCAGATAATTGAGAGTGACGTTATTACACAGTCAGCCAACAAAATAGAGTAAATTCAAGGATAAGTAAATGATTCATAAACTTCAGTTTGTTATTAGTAACATATCATTTGGGAAACACCTTACAAAAGGCAGAGTTATGAACATGTTTGACCCTGAGGCTGAAAACACAACTTTTTTATACAGGTAGGCATGATTTCACAAGAATACGAAGCCACATCTTGGACAAAGGCTGTAGCCTGGTAACCACATAAATCCTAATACTGTAGCAGCAGCAGAATGTCTTAAGCACTCTGATCTGGTACTTCCCACAGTCCACAAATGCAGGGAAAAAATACTAGTTGCTACTAGTGTGCAGAGAAATATTTTGTTTCTAAAAGATGTTCCCAACATACAAAAAAAAATGTTTGAGGTGATGGATACCAAATTGTATTCATTTATCGAAATGCCACACTGTACCCCATAAATAAGTACAATTATAATATCATAATTAAAAATAAATAAAAGACACTATCAGACTTCAGCCACCTATACTGTTGTAAAGCACACAGCCATCCAAAATTATGGGCCACATTAATCCAACTCCATATTGACTTAAAAACATGAAAATGGACAACTTGGCATTTCAGAAACAAAGATATTTCAAGAAGGAAGAAATTAAAAGCATTGGAAATATTAATATAGGGAATCTCCGTATCACACTGTATCAATGTGATTACAATGTTTAGAGAGAGTAATTTTGTAGTAATTTAACATCTCCCAGCAATGTGAGACGGGCCAAATTTATTCTACAGAAGACCAATTAATTCAAAGTATTAACATTCCTTCAAATTTAAAGAAAAGTATCTTTTTTATAACATACAACCTGGCTTTTAATTCCTTGACAATGACTCAGATAATGATTCTCTAGCAGTATTGGTGACTCTTGTCCTGTATCAAAATCACCTGTGGAGTTAAAAAAAAAAAAAAAAAAGTGCTCAGGTTTCCACCAAATTTCCAGATCTACTGCTTAAACATCTTTTTCTCAGGGATCCTCAAGTACATTAAAAGTTGAGAACCACAACCCTAAATCACAGGCAGATATAAAAATCCATCTATCCCCTCTTTCCTAATCAAGGAAAAAAACCCACAAAGGGGTCATGTTACTTTGTTAATTTGAAGTCAGTGAATACTAGATTTTCCCAAAGTCTACTGGACTTACTCCAAAAATGCTGAGAGAAATTGCAAATAGATCCATCCCCAGGGAGGCTGATTTGTACTCCTATGTGCTAATGTAAGACTAATTCTGTAAATGGATTGGTTTTTTGCCTTACTGTTAGAAATTTAATCTGTCTTCTCTTGTTTAACAGAAGAAAGGATAATTACTAAGAGCCAAATCAGTAAAAAGTAAAGAAACTGACTTAAGGTTTTTGTTCCCAATGTACATCTCCAGGGCAAAGAGAACATGAAAGATCTCTCAAGGTGGTGTTTTAAGAAACTGAGAAAAGCACCTCAAGTTCAAATAAGAGATCTGTAATACCGTTTCTACTAAATCTGTGACTGAATGGAGACCGTTTTCTAAAGTTTATCTCAGCTTTCCACATACTGCAAAAGCTGAGCAGAGCAGACCCACACAATCTCAACCAGAGGGAATGGATGAGTTCCAGTTTCACCTGTGTCTTCTTTGAGACCAAAAAAATTGGTTGGCTGGGGGGGGGGAAAGTCTGAAATGCTGTCAGGATAATCAGGCATCTGTTTACAATCCCAAATTTGTCTCAAAATACAGGCCTATACAAAGAAAAACAATGTCAGAAATACCAACATGTTGACAATGGTAGCCTTTGAGCAATGACATTATGAGAGATTTTTGTTTTCTTCTTTCTGTTCTGCTGAATTTCCTGAGTATTTCTACAGTGAGCATTCA